AAGATTTTGGTATGCATTTTGAGCCAAAAGTTGTCCCCCTCAGAAACAAATTTGACCTGTTTTTGGATTTTGCCGAAAAGTTCTTTACTACCCTGCAATGCCTTGCGGTACGTTTTCGATGGGCTACCCTGTATATATATATATATATATATAGTTAAGTATTAGCGACTAGCTAGTTAAGAAACAAAATTTCTGGTTGGGTAATATAGTCTTGAGGAAAACAATAAAGGTTGAAAACTCTTTATTTCTGCTCAAGCTTTCGAGAAAATCATTCTCTTCAAGAGTTCTACAATTTTTACAAACATTTTTATTAATTAATACATTATAATTACAAAAAGAAAGTAACTTACGAAATGCGAGGTTCACAATGAAGATGGCATGTTGAGAAAACATAACAATAATAAACTTATAAACATCCACTTTAAAAAATACTGATATTAATTAATAAAACAAACTGTGACCACACAAATGAACAGAAACAAGTCAACATTTTTTGGTTAAAATTGTTATTGTCGAAATATTAAAATTTAAAAAAAAATTACATTATTAAAAATTAAGTGCTAACTTGGTAAAAGCAATACTGATTGAATATGGTCTTAAATCTAAAATTAGCATCGACAGTGAACAGTAATATACAGGGTTAGAACTATTTAAAGGGAGACTACAGGGAAATCGGAAACCGTTAGTCATACAGGTAGCACAAATTACAAAAAAGTTGCACAATTATGGGGCGAGTGTTTTGGTGAAAACAGATTCAAGATATCTTCGATAGTTTCTGATATCTCGAAAAAAGTGAAAATATCGATTTTCTATTTTTCGTTATAACTCATTTGTTTTTTAAGACAGCGTCACAAAATTTTGTATCTACGCATTATCCAACATGGCGATTTCAATGGTGAGTTCAGATTTTTTCTATCTTCCATTGTTTCAGCTGTAGTCAACTTTTTTTTCTTATGGGCGCCATATTCGTTCTCATGGGTGGATAAAGAAAAATAATACGAATTCCACGATGTATCACACTTTACAAAAATATCCTGTCTGCCTGCAGCAATTTGAATATCGTTTTAATTTTTCTGAAATAGTAGGCTGATGTCCGAATTGTCATTTTCTTTAATATAAAACATGAAATGTAAAATATTATTACTGTTACGATGTTGTTCTGTATCAAACAATAAATAAAATATGAAGTAAATAAAAGAAACCTTTTCATATACAAAGCTAATTAAACTCAAAACAAAAACAAATTAAAAAAATTCAGTGTAAAATATGTTCAAAACGATTTCCTTCATTATTAATACAAAACCTCACTCTTTCAGAAATGCACAGGGTAGCCGCTCGAATTTGCTCGGTAGTTATGGACATAATTCCTTGAGTAATTCTGTTGCGAAGCTCATCTACCGTATTTATGGTGGTTCGATAAACATTATCATTTAGGGCACCCCAAAAGAAATAATCCATAGGATTCATGTCCGGAGTTCTGGCCGGCCAATTAATGGGTCCGTCTCCCAATCCACTGTTCACCGAATCTGTTATTTAAGAATTGTTTCACTTGCAAGATACTATATGGTGGAGCACTATCATGCTGATACCAGCATTCCACATAACACATAACTGACAATGTTTGGAGAAATTTCTCTACATAATTTTGTAGAAGGTCCAAGTACTTAGGCCCATTTAATGTACCATCTATGAAGTAGGGCCCAATTATCCGGTCATTCAGTAAACCACACCAACATTAACACTAAATCTAATTTGATGTCTAGACTCACGTTTTAAATGCGGATTAGTATTTGCCCAATGATGGCGATTTTTTCTGTTAAATAAACCATTGTTGGTAAACGTTAATTGATCAGACCACAACACTTTTGTTGGGAATTGAGGATCTTCTATTAATTTTGCAGAAAATGAGTTACAAAAGTTCATTCTCCTTTGATGATCGTCCGGTCATAGTCCTTGTAATATTGTAAATTTGTAATCATGAAACTTATGCTTTCTTAAAATTTTAGAAACTCCCCTTTGTGACAAACCGCACTCCTTAGCGATCGCAGTTGTGGACGTTTCTGGGTTAATATAAACTTGAGCATGCACATTCACTTCATTAGGTACAATTTGGCTGCATTAGTTCTGGATATTGTTGCAAATATTGTTCCGATGCCGTTCTGGCGTTCCTATTTGCACGTATGTATGTATCGTACTTTTTTTTTTTCAGACAATAAAAACCTCATTTTTAATTTAATAAATAAGTTACTTATTATTATACAGGACACAGGTGGCACACAAAACTCAAATGGCAGTTTCATCTAACTGTCATAACAAAGTAATAAATTATTTGACAAATCGGACATCAGCCTACTATTTCAGAAAAATTTAAAAGAAATTCAAATTGCTGCAGGCAGACAGGGTATTTTTGTAAAGTGTGATACATCGTTGAATTCGTATTTTTTTCTTTATCCATTCATGAGAACCAATATGGCGTCCGTAAGAAAAAAAAAGTTGACTATCGCGACTTTGAAACAATGAAAGATAGAAAGATAGAAAAAATGTGACCATTGAAATCGACATGTTGGATAATGCCTAGATACAAAATTTCGTGAAGCTATCTTAAAAAACAAATAAGTTATAATGGAAAATAGAAAATCGGTATTTTCACTTTTTTCGAGATATCAAAGAAACTATCGAAGATATCTTGGATCTGTTTTCACCAAAACAGTCGCCCCATAATTGTGCAACTTTTTTGTAATTTGAGCCACTGTCACGGGACGCAAAAAAAATCCAATATTGCGCTCCTTGATTTCCTGCCAGGGGCCTTTTTGAAAAGCAGGCTGCGGCGGACTCGACGTCCAGTCCGCGGTCCGACCGCTATTCATTAAATAACCGCCGTGTCGTATTCCACCCTTCGAGTGAGCTTCAGAATTTCAGAACACCCCGTATATTCATAGAAGCCATAATCTTGTACCTACGGATATGCCGGAGACCGCTGAATTGGAAAGGATCATATTCACCTACCTTTCCAATCCAAACCAAAAACCCGCCACGGTTGCAAATTCAATCGCCGTCGGACGCGCAAAATGAAAAAGCCTCTATGAGAGTCTTCAGACATCGATCCTCCCGGCGATAGCGCCAAGACCAATTTCACCGATGTTTCCAATGTCACCCGCATCGCGACCGATCTCGCCTGGGTCTGCCATCCCGGTGTGCAGTATCCACTGCCGCTACTCTCGCAACCTGCAGTCGAACCCCGGGACGCTTCAAGGCGAAATTTGGAAAGTCATCAGAAATTTCACCACTCTTTCGAAATGGTCAAGGCCGCTATCGCCAATAACTCGAAAAGTTATTGAGCGATCGGAGTCAAAATTTAATGCAGCATTCCTCAAGTAGCTAGCATTATCTTAAATTTTCGTCCGAATCGGATGAGCCAAAACGCCGTTATACGGGGAAACGCGAATTTCACGTTTTCCGCGTCTTCAGCCGTTCCGCTCATTCGATCTCGGCCGAACCCTCCAACCACACTAGAGTATCGCTAGGTGGTTGTCATATCCAAATTCGAGCCGAATCGTGCGACTACTAACGGCCAGCTAAGCCATACTAGGTTTTCACGTCTTTATAGCTGCCGCCGAAAGTATCCGCGCGATCTCGGCCGAACCCTCCAACCACGGCACTATGTCATGCCGTGTATC